CAGGGCTAATCTTCCTCAAAAAAAAAAAAAAAAAGAAAAAGAAAAAGGCCACACGGCAGCGAGTGCTGGAGCGGCACGCGGACCTGGGCCGTCGGCCTCTGCAGGCCGCTGTGCTGCAGACTTCTCACTCCTGTGCTGCTTGGGCCGGTTTGGGAAATTCTGAGCAAATCGGCGTGCTGTGCTTAAATGCTCTTTTTAGAGACACTCAGAAGTCCATGCGGTTGTTTCTGGAAAAACAGTGTCCTGACTGCACCCATTTGCTCTTGTAGACAAACGAAGCCGACACCTTGGTGCTGACGGCGTCTACTTGGATGACCTCACGGATATGGATCCTGAAGTGGCTGCGTTGTATTTTCCCAAAAAGTAAAATTTGTTTTTATTCTTCATATCATTTTCTGTCATCTGAACATTAATCTGTGAGTCTGTTTTTTCCCTTGTATTTGGTTAGAAAGTGAGTAAGAAAAGGCTGCAGGAAGCTCACATTTGACTCTGAAAAGCAGCCAGTTTATAAAAGCAGCGGACTTTCTCTGTGGACGTAGGTGTGTGGGTGTATCCCTGTGAGGCTGGCTTTCCACCTTCTGAACAGGGATGTGGGCACGAGGCCGTCTCCCCTGATGACACTGAGGTTGTGTCACCGTGGTCAGAGGCCCAGAACCCCAGTCAGTGGCAGGGAGGTCCCTGTCCCCAGGAGAGAGTCTCGGTGGCCTTTGGGGCTCCACCTTCAGTTCTATGACCTGCAGGTGGGCTAGCTCCTCGGAGGGTAATAACGGGGGCTGTGGCCTCTTAGAACAGCGTGCTTTCTCTTCAGTTCATTTCACGTGGGCTGGGAGGGGATACAAGGAGCTGTAATAGGCTAAAAATAGTTGTTTTCTCTCCTAAGGCAAGTCACTTAACTTGTCTGTCTTTCTCGTGGCGCTCTGATGAGCTGTCTGTCCTGAGATGACATCATGAGCTGTCTGATGGGGAGCAGATTGCTAGTCATTTGATGACTGGCTAAGACCTAAGACAAGGAGAATCCTCAGAACATCTTCCGCTCTTCCTCCTTCCAGCGGAGATCCTTCTGGGCTTGCGAAACATGCCAACGACAACGGAGCCCGCTCAGCCAACCAGTCCCCGCAGTCCGTGGGCAGTTCTGGCATTGACAGTGGTGTGGAGAGCACCTCGGACGGCCTGAGGGACCTGCCATCCATTGCCATCTCCCTCTGCGGGGGCCTCAGCGACAACAGGGAGATAACCAAAGGTACCGTGCCGGGCGTTGGAGCTGGTCTTCAAGCCAAGAGCACCCTCTTGTGGCGGCTGGTCAGAACGTCCAGAAGCTTGGGCTTCCATAATTAGTTCATGTTAGAAGTTGCTTTCCACTTGGCTGGTTAACAATAGCACCGATGACTCATTGTCGCTCATGACCCACATGTTGCTGGCTTGCAGTTGACTGACCTCAGGGTTCTGTTGGTCACACCTGGCTTCAGGCAACAAAGCCATTGGGGTCACTTGTCATCAGGCGTGTTTGCTGAGCATGCTGTGTGTCTCCTTGCCCTGTGCCTGTCCTGCAGATGTGTCCTCTGGAGCCTGCAGCCTGGTGGGAATGTCAGTGTTATGATAACACAGTGTGTTGGAAGTATGCAAAAATGCTGTGAGGACTTGGAGGAGGGAGGGACGTCTGAGTTTTTCTGAGCAAGTCCAGGGAGGCTTCCCAGCTGGATCTGGAGGGTGCTCCTAGGGTTGGCTTAGGCAGTGAAGTAATTCATAGCATCCACCATGTTCGTAACAATGATTTCCTCCCAGTGTCTCATGACAGTTACATGGTGAGGTGGCCCGAGACCCCAGTCCATGTAGTCAGCCACTACCAACTGATGAATTCCTTGACCTCGTTCCCCTGGGCATCCTCCTTCCACCCCTCCCACCTGCTTAGGCAGGACACTGTGCTTTCCATTCACAAGCTTATCCATCCTCACAGCCACTGAGGAGGCGGGCGTGGTTATTATCCCCGTGTCACACGTGAGGGCACTGAGGCTTGCCCAAGGCCACACGAATGAATGTGACTGAAATCGAGGTAACCTGGTTTCCGATCCCTGCTCACTGTCCATCTGCTTCTGCAGATGTGTGTGTACACCATGCTTTCCACACCTGCTCCTTCATAATCCACTGCCTCAGCCTGCCCCAGCCTCCCTTCATTTCTGCACAGACACTGCACCCAAAACACATTGAAGCCCCCTTTACAAATACATTCATAGAATCGCCCTCACAGTCGGCACGCATGAACTCTCAGAAAACGAGTGAAAAATAGGCCTATTTTTTTTGAACCAAATTTTCCTTATATTCCCCCCATTCCCTACGATTGCTTTCACAGATGCGTTTTTGGAACAAGCTGTGTCCTATCAGCAGTTTGTGGACAACCCTGCCCTCATCGATGACCCCAATCTTGTGGTGAAGATCGGGAATAAGTAAGTTCTTCCTGAAGTTGTTTGAGCAGTTGCATGATACTGTCTCAGCTTCAGTTTTTCAAACACAGAGACCTAGACAGTTGGCCTTAGAAATATATAAAATAAAGTCTTTGTTAAGATTTATTATAGTCACTTCACTATTGGCAAAATACTGTGTTGCTATGTAGTTGGTAGGTTGACGTAACTTTCGATCTTGTGGATTTTATTCTTTATCTGTACTAGTTTTATAACGGAGTGTGTAAAGTCACAGTGTGTGGCCTATGGGACTTGGGCCCATAGAGCACATGAGTGTAACAGAATAGGCCGTGTAGCCACCCCTTGAAAGCTCCGTTGTCTGAGGTCAGGGGCTGTGCAGGTGTTTTTGGAGACTGTTGGCAAACTTGTCTCTCTGAGAAGAAGTCATGGATGTTTGCATATCAACTAGGTACCAAGTTGCCGTTTCCTTGAAGCATGGCAAGAAATACCACAAGCATGTTGCTGGCTTGATGCACCGTGGAGCGTGGGCTGCTCTCCAGCTGGCTGCTGGGGTCTCCCACCACGTCTCAGTGACTGTGCTGCTGCCATGACGGCTGCTTGGCCCCTCAGTGTGGCTCCCATGGGGTTAGATACAGGAGGGGGCAACTGCGAGGGCAGGGCATGCAGGGGAGGGCCGGGGGTGTTAGCCCCAGTATTGGGCTCTTTACGGACCCAGCTGGAGTTCCAGAGCTTTCCATGACCGCTTCTCATGACATTAGAAAGAGTTTTCAGTCTGAGTCTCGGTCTTCTGACATCTTTTCATTGTTTCGTGTTAGATATTATAACTGGACAACAGCAGCACCTCTGCTCCTGGCAATGCAGGCCTTCCAGAAACCTCTGCCAAAGGTGAGCGTTAACATGAGAAAGAAAACGGGGCACTGAAAATGATGGATAGATTAATCTGGGCGGTTGGAATTTATGTCTTGTTTTAAAAACCACAAAGTTAAGTACATTGTGCTCTTTCGAAGTTCATGAGTATAAATGTCAGGAGTTTCGAATCTGTTTCTCTTGCACCTTGAATGTTCTTCCCCCTCCTGCTTTGAAGGCAAGATGTCCCAATCCTGGCAGTGCTGGTCCCAGTCCTGCCTCCTCCCGGGTCCCGTTCTCAGCACCTGCTGTACTAGGGACACAGGTGGGGGCAGAGCAGATGGATGCGGGTGTCAGAGCCCAGGGATGAGGAGGCGAGAAGAGAGAAGGGCTGGAGCAGGCAGTGGGTTGGGTACAGGAGGCGGCACACCAGACGCCAGGTGCCAGCGCTCGCGTCAGGCCTCGCTCGGCCAGGAAGCAAGCCCTGGGGCTGATGGGCGGGGAGGAGCGGGTACAGGGCTGGGGCAGCTCCTAGCTGCACGGGAGAGCAGGTGAGTGGCTGCAAGGAAGGGCAGGGTTAGGAGGGCAGATACACCCCTGCAGCTATTGCTCTCATCTTCCCCCAGCGATTCATTCCACTTGGAATTGTTCATCGTTTCAGTGTTGTGTCTGCCTACTAGATTATACCTTCTTGTTGTTGCAGAGACTGTGTCTTACCCTTGTTGTATCCTTTGTACACTTAGTGCCTTGTACTGCTTTGGCTGTATTTTATCAGGTAGCTCTGATATCTGAGGCTCTTGAAGGTCTGATCCCACTTGGTTGAGTCTATGCTTGCTCCTTCCTGGTGTGTGTGAGTGTGTTTTGGGATTTGGGGGTTGTGACCTCATCTTTGGTGGAACTTTATCTGTGAGTATTCTTTGTGCACTGGGCTGAGGGCGTGTTCTCCAGAGTGGTTTTTGTTTTGTCGCTGCCAGGTTCCTCGTTGTATCCATGGCCCAGGACAAATTGTTATGTTACGTGTGTCAGCTCTTACAAATCCTAAGAAAAAAGAATAGTGCAATAGAAATATGGTTAAAGGATATAGTTCACAGAAAAAGAAATACACACGCCTCTTAAACTTAAAGAAATTAGTCTTTGTGATAGGTGTTCTAAATCTTTTTACAGGTTGTCAGTAGTTTTTGACTCTGTTTATGGTATTTATCTAATATAGAAATTATTTTTATATGTAGAGTTTGTCACTCTTATCTTTTGTGGCTGTTGGGTTTTGTATCACACTTAGAATGACTCTGCTTCTCTGTTTCCAAAACTTGTGAAAATATGCCCTTTCTTTTCTTCTAGTACTTTCTTAAATCTTTGCTCCACCTAGATTTTATTTTGAGAGTAATGAGTGAGGTATCAGGAACCAAATTATTTCCCAGCTGGTTATTGAATCAGTTAGGAGGCTTTGGTTACGAGAAACAGAATGACTAATAGTGGCTTAAACAATAGGGGTTTATTGTCCTACATAATAAGAAACTTAGAGGTTGGTCGTTTCAGGCTTGATGAATTTGGATTAGCTACTCTGTGATTTCTTGGCTTTCCCTTTATGGTCACGAGATGACTGCTCTACACGTCATTTCTTCACACAACCACCTCCAAACAGGAGGGAGAGAGGCAGACTTCTCACAGTTCATTGGCCACAACTTGGTCACATGATCACCTCCAAACCCATTGTTGGGAAAACAGTGGAATGACTATGAATGGTGTAGACCCATTGAGGTTCATCTTCTGGAATTGAGACTGCCTTCCCAGAACATACTGCAGCCTGATTCTTGAACAGTTTTGGATCTGTTGGCAAGAAAGAAAGGAGATGATGCCCTTAAGGAGGCAACCAACGGGATCTGGCATAGCTAGTTAATTATCCGAGTACTATTAATTAGGTAACTCTTTCCCCCACTGATAGGCAATTACAACTTTATCATATGTTACATTTCTCTATGAATTGAGATTTATTTCTGGACTTTGTCTTCTGTTCCATTAGTATGTTTACTTATGTACCAACACTATTCTTTTCATTACTGTAGCTTTTAAGTACATTTTAATATCTCATAAGGTGTGTGCCTTCTTGTTATTCTGTCTGAGAATGTTCTTGACTACTTTTATTTGTTTATTTTATAAATCAAATTTAGAATCAGTTTGTCTAGGTCTGAAAATAATCCTGTTAATATTTTTTAAATTGGGGTTTTGTTACATGTAAATAAATTTAGGAGGAGTGGGGTAATTACCATCTTTATGAATTGTCCGATTCATGAACAGGGTATGCATGGTTTGCTTTTTAGTATTCAGGTTTTCTTTTGTGTTGGGTAGGGATTTTCAAATGATGAAAAGAAGCACACTTCAGGCTAAATATGTGAATTATTTATCTTTCCACTTACCTGCAAGCTGTTAGGTTGAAAGACTTAAATCTTTCTCTCCTATTAGCTGAGGTGTCAGCTACCTGATAGTTCTATAAACCGAGGAAGGGAAGTCAGATAACGTTTACCTTGGCACTGGAATTAGCCTCACGATAAATACTTTGTTCTTTGGAAATACTTAGAAAATTATTAATTAATATTTAATGTTCCCCCATCAAACTTTCATTTATTTGGGGTAAGAGTATGAATTTTCTTTTTAATACTTGAGATTTTAAATCAACTGCATCTATTAATGTTCACTTTGTCAAAATCTGGAAATGTACTAAAAAGATCCTGCACGTTTTACCTTTTGTTTAAGACTGTCTTACCCTATTCCCCATATTAATCATTTCATTTTTTATTTTGTAATCATCACATTGAGAGTAACAGTATCTTAACCAGTAAGCCACTTTAATTTGAGAACTTCTGGTTTTACTAATCACTAATGATTTTCAATGCTTTCTTTTTTTGTTGTTGTTGTGTTGTATTTTATTTGTTGTTTGTTTATTCCTTTAACATCTTCTTAAGTCTTCATGCTTAAGTTACCTTAATGTAATTTTGGATGCGATTAGGTTTTGCTTCTCGAAAATTTTTAGTCCACAAATAGTATGTTGTGTTTTCTCTGATTCTTTTTTTTTAATCTTACTTTAATTTGCATGTGTGTTTCTTTTGGTTTGAATGTGCTAAGTTGATCTTTTTTTGGTTCCATTATTTATGTTACCATCCATTTAAAACAGGCCACTGTGGAATCTATCATGAGAGATAAGATGCCCAGAAAGGGAGGAAGATGGTGGTTTTCATGGAGGGGAAGAAATACCACAATCAAGGAGGTAAGCATGGAAAACAAAAGAGTCTTTCTACTTGGCTCAGCAAATTTTGGTTTTGTGTAGTGGCATTTGTTTTTATGCTTTTGTGTTGGAGAAATAAGCATAAGCCATAATACTGAATTTTCAGGAGCCAGTTCTGCCACAAAGTAGGCAAAGGCATCGCAGAATGTGGGGCAGGCAGAGAAGGGTCTGGAAGAGTGAACGGAGAGTTGGGTTCACCTCTTGGCTCTGTTACTTCTTGGCTTGGAGGCTGCGGTCAAGTCACTCCCCTTCTAGAACATTTCTTCATCTATAAAAGAAAGAATTCAACCTGATGGTTTAATTTTTTTAAAGTATCTTCCTGTTGCTTGTGAGGACAGTTTTAATGAGGTAGACTTGCAGCAGTAGACTAATTCTCATTAGTCGTTTCACTTAAATGGCGTGTCTAAGTATACATGGCTTTCTTTGGTTTCTATTTCTATAAATGCATATAATTTTTTTCAGATATTTGTTAACCTCTCAACCTATTTCTTGAAGCACTGTCTTTGCTTGGCTTCCATGCTGGCCGTGTCCACCTGGCCTTCCTCTTCCTCAGGCTGTTGCTCCTGTGGCTCAGCCCCCATCAGGGGGTCCTCAGGCGTTGTCTGAGGGCCTCTCTTCTGCTTTCACTGTCTGCTTTTCCCCAGGCAGCCTCACCCACACCCATGTGTTGGCTCCCTTTTTGTTTCCAAACCAGACATTGTTTTGTATTCTGCATCTCTATCAAATAGCCAACTAGGTAGACATCTCCGTGTGGATACGTCAAGCACTTCAAACTTGTTATTTCTAAAATTGAACTGATGGTTCTCTTGTGAATTCTTCCTTTGTTGGACCATAGTCAGAAAATGGAGCCACTGTCCCTCCTTAGTCTAGACACTTCCTTTCTTGTCAGTCTTCACATTCAGTCCCTCACCAAGTCATATCAATTTACCATCCTAAGTATTTCTCAGATTTTCCATTTCTTTCCAGCTCTACTCTCACAAATCTAGGCGACCACCGTCTCTCCCAGGGTTGCTTCCAAATGGTCAATTTATAGCCATTCTTGCCTCTCTTCCTCATTCTCTATACTGTAGCTGCATTGGTCTATTTAGGGTACTGGTCCATTTTATGCTACTCCCTGCTTAAAACCTTTTAGTGGGTTCCCAGGGCTCTTATAATTAAGACCAGTATCCTTAACATGGTCTACAGGACTTGTGTATCCTAGCCTCTGCCTCCTTTTATAGCCTCATCTTTTATCATTCTCTACCCCCCTGCCCTATGTATGTTAGCCTTGCTGGCTGAGAGTACATTCTACCCCAGGACCTTTGCATGTGTTATTTTCTCTGTCTAATGTTCTTAGGACCCCTCTTGCCCCTCTTCACTTAATTAACTAGCATCTCCAATGGTCCTTTCTCAGCAGATTAGTCTAGACTGCTCTTCTCTGCTCTCATACACCTTTTCCTTCATGAATTTTGTCAGTTTGTAATTATTAATTGGTAAACTTACTACTGTGACTGTTTGATTAACATGTCATTCCCCTTCAGACCCTGAACTCCAGGAAGGCAGAGACCATGTCTGGCTCTGATCCCTGCAGTATCCCTTGTGCCCATATCGGACCCAGAGCAGGGGTCGGCAAATACTTGTTGAGGGAAAGCTGATTTCTTTTGGAATGTAGTATTAAAAAAACCCCAAGGATAACAGTCAAGTGGTTATTATAATAGTGAAAGGAACCCCAGTGAGCTCGATTTATTTGTCCCACTAGTTCAAAGGAAGATTCTGTTGGAAGAGTTGTATCAAGATAAAATTGTTCTTTGACATTTTCTGTTAGCAAACCTGAGTTTTACTGATTGTCCGTCATCTCCAAGAGGTATGAACAAGGTAGAGCAAACATATGCTTTCCATCCGGAGACTTAAGGCATAAAAGAGGTTCTGTTTTTTGACTAGAGGGTGGAATGTTCTAGAATTGAGACAGAAGGCTATTTCAAAGACTTGTTTATTGTTAAGCATCCAAATTCTCACCAGTTTGTTTTGAGGGGAATGCCAGCATGAAATAAGGAACAGCTATGAAATTAAATATTTCTTAAAAAAAACTGAGATATATTTATTTCAGATATAATATTTTGAACTAGACTAATAAAGAATTGTTAATAGTGGTGTCTACATTACCTGCCTCAATAAATAGATTAAAAATTACTGGGCATGTTATCAATTATTTGTGTGCTTATAAAAAACTAAAGAATATTTGAAAATAGTTTGTACTCATCATATGTTAAGGTGGCCCTGTTTATTGTTTATATCACTCATTCCCTGACCAAATGACCACCAATAATGAGATTTAATGGTGTATCCTTTGATACCTCTGTCTGGCCTCTGATGACTTGCTGTGAAGTCCAGGGGCTGGTGGCTGTCTTGCTCCCCCCTTGCCTGCCGCCTGCCAGGCTCTGTTTATGTGCAGCATCTCCGTAGTCCTCAGAGCAGCCTTAGGAGATGGACATTATCACCCCGTTTTGCAGGTGGGGAAATGAGGCTCTGAAAGGTTCCGTGACTCGCCCGAGGTTCCTAAGTGAGAGAAGCAGGACTGAGCCCAGATCTCTTAGAATTCCAGACCTCTTTCCAGTACATCAAAGGAGCATTTTCTATTGAGTATGTGGTATTGAAAAAGAGAGAAATGCATCCATGTTTTTCCCAAGCAAAATATGGTGTGAAAATATTTTCAAACATTTCTATTAGCAATTAAAAGAAAATATTTTGAAAGCCCTCGGGTATCCAAGCAGCCCATGATAAAGCATTTGCATCAGCTACACTGATGATGGAGTTTGGTCTGGTGCCACAAACACTTCTGGAAAACAGACTCATTTCTGTCAAAAATATTTCTCAGCTTAATTGTATACTTCTGAGCAGAGGCATAACTAGGCCCTGCCCTTCCTGGGGAGTGAGCTTTGGGGAAGGCTTCATTGTAGCACACCAGTGGTCGCACTGGGGCTTCTCTTTGGTGCTCCTGTGACTCTTTTCTTTTCTTCTTCTCCAGGAGAGTAAGCCAGAGCAGTGCTTGGCTGGAAAGAGCCACAGCACCGGGGAGCAGCCGTCACAGCTTAGCATGGCCACCAGGTACAGTGTGAGTCAACTCGGGGTGCTACAGCTACGTTCTGTGTGCAGGGTCATGGCACGTGCCCATCGGATGCTGATAGGGTTCACCCAACAGCACGGGCTCTGGACCCAGATGGACCTGGGTTGCAGACCTGGGCTCCAGCCCTGGCTCTCTCATTTATTCTGTGACCTGGAGCAGTTGACTTCATTGGGTTTCCCATCAATCACATGGAGGCAGTTGCTCCCTTAGATATCCACTTTGCTAAGTAAATGTGAGGCTTAAATGAGGTAATGTAACTAGGGCACTTATGGTCTTGGCATATGATAGCACTCGATATACAGAAGATAATAGTAGTAGTAATAATGATGATAATGATGATAAACAATAGGTTAACAGTGACATGAAAATAAGTTTCCCTTCTGAAGGAACTTGCCTTTCTCTGTAGTCTAAATACTTACCGGAACGTAAGTTGATACCTTTCTAAGTATTGATATGGATGCATGTTAACTTGGCATAGGAGACATTAGATTTTGATAATACTGATCAATATTTGTAGTGTTTTGTCTTTAGGTTAATCTATTTGTATGAGATTTGAGGGTAACCACTCTGAGGGCAGTGCCATCACCCACAAATTCTGATGTTAATCCTATATATTGACCCAGAATGACCTAATATAACACCTTTTACATATGACCTCACCTTTACTGTATTCCTGTGCTTAAGAAACCCAAGATTGCATTTCTTATTTAGCAGATAGAAAATGCCAACAAATTAATTGAAGGCAAGATGCATATCTTAATCATTTTGGTGTCTTGGAGGCCAAGCTGATGCCTGACAGAGCAGGCATTTCATCAATGTTGTCGAACTGTTACTGAACTGATGAGGTTTTCCCAAAACATTGCTGATTTATAGGAGAGGCAGGCTTAGGTTCAAGTCCTGACTCGTGGCCATAGCTCTATATCGTGAACTGTTTTATTTCTGGAATTCATTGTTGGAAATAGTTGCAAGAAGGCAAAAATTTGACTTCTTTATTGTTCCCTCTGGAGAAGAGTGTGCAGGACCTGATAGAACCGCTTCTGAAGGTGACTCTAAATGGCCCAGCCATCTCTGGCTGGGATGTTGCAGGAGGATTCCCTTTCTGTTTTCCTTCATGGCGCCCCAGCACTGTCCTTTCCCACCTGACCCCTGTGGATCTGCACTGGAGAGGGAGCAGGGTTGACTTGCCCATTCCTCACCCTCCGTCTCTGCCTTGATCCCTGGGGAAGGGCTTTCAGGCACGATTATTTGGATACTTTCCCAACCTGGAATTTTGAGCTTGAGAGGGAGAAGGCAGGTGCAGTCCTTTGAAGGGACATATAAAGCAGCCAGGATAGAAGCCAGTGGATTTCCAGGAAGTGGTTGTTGATGCCTATTTGTGGGAAGCAGCAGGCTGTAAACAGACTTTGGAGTCAGGGAGATCTGGTTTGGAATCCTGGCTTCAGACAAACTGCCTTCCATATCTGAGCAAAGGGACAGGTGTGATGTTCGGCCCAGAGCAGCCGAGGGAGGCTGTATAGGAGAGGGTTGATGCCATGAGAGGAGACACAAACAAAGATGCCAGCCCCTTTCTCCTCAGCAGTTTAGACCAGCGGTTTAGCTGCAGTAGAAACATCCTGCTCTCCTGGAATTCTCTTTAAGAACCCTCTCTGTCCCAGCAATGATTTTCAAACACGAGCGGCAGCGTGAGCAGGACATAAGAGCAGGGACTTTGTCAACCTTCTGTGTGATCTTTGGCAAATTCATCAGCCCCTCTGTGTCTCCTCCTTCATCTGCAAAATGGAGAAAAGAGTGACACCAGCCTCGCAGACGTCGGCTCGTGTCATCCTCACCACAGCATCAGGAGAAGGGAGATCCAGAATGAAAAACCCAACAGGGCCGCGCAGGGGAGGTGCCTGCAGGGAACTGTCAGGAGGGTGGCTCTGTGGTGAGCTGGAGGACATGTGCTCATCCTAACTGCAGTTTCAAATATTTTAAAATATACTCTACGATATGGCCCAACTCAGGATGTCTGCCAAATTGAGCCTGCGATATGCCAGTCTTAGACCTGGTGGAGGATGGGCCTGAGGCTCAGAGAGGTTTAAAAGGGCTGGAACGTGACAGTAGCTGTGCAGGGTGTGGTGTGCAGAGGACATGAGTCCACTGTTATTCAGTGGCCTGGAGGCCCTGGGGAGGATTCTGGGTGGCCTGAGGGTGAGGGGGCAGCAGGACACTTGTGCAGGTCTTCCCCAGTTGGAACATCAGCTGGCGCGGTTTATTTGAAGCACTTTGGATTTTCTGACTGTCTGATGTGATCCTATTCAAACATTGACAAAAACGCATTTCCCAGTTAAACAGAAGTAGTTTGACTTGTTCACCGTTCTGGGTTAGTCATGCTGCACTTTATTAAGCCTGAAAAATGAAGAATTGACTCTTGTGAAAAGGAATTGAGATTTTGAAAAGTTTTAATATAAAGTTCTTTTTGAGAAATGTAAATCTTTTAATTGTTACTGGCATCTTAGACTTTTAGCCTCCTAATTAGATTCATGCAGTTGACAGAAAAGAAGGGGTTGGAGTGCCTGCCTAATTGACAGACTTGATTGACAGAACAGTCCCTGCAGTCTCATAATTGAGCAAACAGCTTGTCGCCATACAAATCACTCAAATACTGTTTGAAGAATGAACACTGTGACAGGTGCTGCCTTAGATGTTGTTCACAGCTACTCGCCTGAAAACAGACTTTCAAGGGAGATGAGCCCTTTTGTTTTGTTGCTGCTTGCAGATGCTGTAAAGCGAGCAACGTTGAGTTAGCCATTCAGGAGTAGGGGACGGGGGCCACGTTGCTGCACGCGGGGTGGCAGAGTCCGCAAATGACCGTGGACTCCCCCTAAGCTGGAACCACCAGCAGCCAACTGTACAGCTCCCATTTTAGTTTTTGTATCTGTTTTCCTTTCTGTGTTCCCTCAAACATGGCAAGCTGCACGGATTTAGGTTTTTTTTTTTAAAGCAGCAGATGGAAATGACAGCTATTCCGCCTTGCTTCCGCATCCTCCCAGCGGAGGCACACGTCAATCTGTTGTCACTAAGAGCTTCAGTTCACATTTGGATCTCATTTCACCCAAACTGTTTGGATGGAGTGTAAACATTTCCTGATTCCATGAGGGGCCTGTGGCCTCGCCTCCTTCCGGTTCCCACCCAGGCGCTTGTCAGGCCGGATTGGCTCCAAGACTGTGTCTGCCCCATCTGTCTGAAAACCTCTAGGTTGTTGGTTCAGAAGGACAAGCATGGTTCGTTGGATCTGCGGGGGTTGGAAGTTGAGGGACCTTTTGTTGGAACCCGTCATTGTACAGACGAGCCGCTGAGGCCCAGAGAGGAATTCTGTAGCTGCAAGGCCTTTACTGGGACTTGTGTCTCCCAGTCTAGATCTTTCCATCTGTTATCTGCCTGCATCCTGAATTTTTTGGTGGGTGATGCAGTTTGTTCCTCTGCATTGTAAGATAAGGAATCAAGCCTGAAAGAAGAGAAGTGATTCATGCGAGGTAACACAGCCGGAAGTTCCTACGGGGTTCACACCTGGGTTTCGCAGGTTCTAACCGCAGTGCCATATCTCCACTCCACCTGGAACCAGCCCACGGTGTCACAGGTGTTGATTCATCCACACGTAGCTTAGCCCTGCCATGAACCCAGCAGGATTCTAGCCTACGTGGTTTGTCCTTCTCCGTGGACATAGTCACCTGTTCCCATGGCTTGTTCATCGGGGCTGTATCTCGGTGATGGACAAGTCTGCGACTCTAGCCCGGATTGTTCTGTGCAGCTCCTAGGCCCCTAGTCTAGCTGCTCCCTGGGGTGGCCTCTGCTTTCCGATCATAGTACTTCTCCTGCTGTGTTGTGATTGTTTACACAAAAAGCCCTGGAGAGCCGGGCCGGGTTGTTTGCTGTCACGTCCACGCCCGGCACCGTGCGAATAAGGACTGGTTGAATGAGCTCCAGTCCACCAGCCTGCAGTCCAGAGGCTGCCTCATGGGGCTGGGAAGCAGGTGTGTGGAGAGGGGCAGCTCGTTCTAGACGTGGAAGGAGCCAAGTCTCCACCTAAGAGGTGGTAGGAATAACACAGAAGTGGGGTGCTGTGTAGTGGTGGTGTCTCATGTCTCCCCTAGTTTGGGGCAGTATTGGATTATAAGACCTGCTTCTGGAATGAATACATATGGGCTAAGAAAGCAGCAGGTTGCCTAGGAGATATCTCATCATTTCTGGTAGAAGAGAAGGGAGGCAAAGGAGAAAACAGGAGGCAGGAGGACAGGGGACATTAGCATTGAGATGTAAGAGCTCATTGAGATAAAAAGATAAGACGGGGCTTTGCATAGAGGGATGTGGCGAGCGGGAAGCCTCACAGGAAGGCGTGCATCTGAGGAGTTGGGACGTGCCTGCTTGGGGGCCACCCAGCCTTTTCCGTTTAGCCTAACAAACATTTATTAAACACTTTGTGTAGCGTTAAGGCGTTTTTAAAGATAATGGTCCTGGGAAGCAGAGCTAATACCTCTGGGTTGGGGATTATGCTGTAGCAGGATTTTAATCTAGGAAACAACTAATTACTGATATGCTTTGTATGAACTATTTAAAGAAAATGAGCCTGCTCCCCACGTGCACCTCCCAGCTCCCCACCAAACAGGAGAGCCTAGAAGAGCTGGGAGTGTTGGCCTGTGAATTCTGTGCAGGCAGGTAAGGTGCGGCCCTTGCTCGTGGGCCAGCCTGCTTAGGGGTTCTGGAGGAGGATTGGTGAGACTTCCTTGTTTTCACTGGTACCTGTGCGGAAGTCCTAGAATGCCCTAATTATTTGGAATTGTGGATTTGGAGCGGTAGGTACAGGGAACTGATGAGTGGCACGTGTAGACATTTGCACTCTGTGCTTGCCCCACAGCCTCAGATGGGGAAGGGAGGAGAACGTTTGTGAGCGTCCCCCTAGGCAAGGAGGGAGTTAACCACTGATCAGGAAGAGGAGCCCTTGGTTTAAAATAGAGCGATGATAGCTAGTAAATAGGAAAGTGAATGAGGAGAGGCAGCCCCGGATGAATAATGCACGAGCCGTATGAATGGGAGTTTAGTGAGAGTCCATTGATAAATGTAATGGTGGATGGTAGATGACCACCCAGGAGGCAGCGCTCGGGAGAGACCCGATTGACTCTGTCATTGATTCTGGGCTAATGCATTTTTAATGGCTACCCAGATGCATTTCCTCATTGGTGATTACATCACTGTGTGTTCCAGAATAAAGCATGAATCATCCTCCAGTGATGAAGAGCACGCAGCTGCCAAGCCATCAAGCTCAAGCCACCTCCCTCTGTTGTCCAGTGTCAGCTACAAGAAGACCCTCCGACTCACTTCAGAGCAGCTGGTGAGGGTCTGGTTCTTCCCTCGCCCTGTTTGTGGGCACTGGCCCAGGCACGGCCACCCAGACTTGGTGGGCGTGATGGTCTGGTGTCCCTCTTGCCTCTGGCTGCCACTTTTACTCCTGGTACTTATCTATTCCAGAGTGCCTGCTGCCCTCTGGCTACCTCAGGCCCCTCCTTTTGGTACTCCATGTTTTCACCCCAACATCAGCATCAGTGAAGGCTGGCTCCTCAATATCACTTCACCTTTGGCTTCCCTGATGCAGCCCTGGAGTATCCTGTTTTCAAGTGTTAGAAGAAGGCTGCCTGATGGAGCTAATTTATCCTGAGGTGTAAATGACTGATAGACCAAAATCTCACAGGAGTGTTTCCACATTTTATTTATTTATTTATTTATGTATTTATTTTTTTGTGAAAAAGATCAGCCCTGAGCTAACGTCCATGCCAATCCTCCTCTTTTTGCTAGAAAGACTGGCCCTGAGCTAACATCTGTGCCCATCTTCCTCCACTTTATGTGGGACGCTGCCACAGCATGGCCTGACAAGCGGGGTGTTGGTGTGCGCCCGGGATCTGAACCCAGGCCGCCAGCAGTGGAGTGCGCACACTTAACCGCTACACCACGGGGCCGGCCCTGTTTCCACATTTAGAGAGCTGTTTGTTAACTCAAATGCATCTCTTACACTGGGGGACATCAAGCAGTTGTGATGGGATCTAGGGAATTGCAGGGAGCAGGGGCCGTCGGGTCACAATGTCCTTTTTCTGTGCGGGTGTACGACCTGTTTTAATCAGGCCCTTCCTTGCCTGGGCCTTGTTGCCCAGTGAGCAAATATCCCTGCTCTTTTCCTTTGTATCCTAAGAGTAAGTGGGGGCCAGGCTTAGCTGTGATGGTGTTTAATGGGAAAAGGTAACAGACAGGCCCAGAACCCACTTAATGCCACAAGTGCCACCCTGCAGCCTGGCAGTCCCTGTGCAGCTGCGTGGCACACAGCTCCGACTAGTGACCCTGGGGGAGTCAGGCGGCCTGCGGGTCTGTGCACCAGCTGGCATGCACCAGAGGGTCCGAGCAAAGAGATTCAAACCGCCAAAAGTAATTTTGCTTTCTGAATCTGGCGTGATTTTCCTAGGTCGAGACTCGATGCTTCTAGAAATGAGATGGGCCTGATAACTGAGACTGCTTTCCTGCAGTCTGTGTCAGTATAATCATCATTAAAAACATGGTTATTTAGGGAAACCTATCTCCACACTTGGCTTGTGTTAATCTCCCCAACCATGGCCCTTCATATTTAGTCATGGAGAAGTAAGTGTGACCTGTTCTGAAATGGTGATTTGGTTGGCTGAGCCTTACAGCCTATCATTTAACCCTCTCTGATAATTCTCATCCAGAAATACTGGGTCAAGTTAGTGTTGTCTTTGGAGGTAGAATGCCTGTGCAGGAAGTGTGTGAGCTGCGTTATCAGTGGGTCTGAGAGGAGAGCTGGGGTTCAGGTGCCTAAATCCTGGAAAGAACCATCCTCATCTAGAGCAAGACAGGGAAAGAAAGGATTGTACAGTGGCCTTTGTTATTAGCACCGTCGAGTGGATTCCTTCTGACTCCTAGCGAGCCTGTGGACAGCAGAACATAATCCTGCCTGGTCTTTTTGCACCATCCTCTCACCTTCCGGTGCTGTATCAGACAACGCTCTGCTGCTGTTCACAGGATTTGCGTGGCCAATTTTTTCAGAAGTGAGTGGCCAGGTCCTTCTTCCTAGTCTGTCAAAGTCTGGAAGCTTCACTGAAACTTGTCCACCATGGGTGACTCTGCTGGTATTGAAATACCAGTGGCATAGCTTTTAGCATCACAGCAACATGCAGCTGCCACAATATGGCAGCCGACAGTCGGGTGGTGTGGTTCCCTGACTGGGAAATGAACCCAGGCCTCAGCAGTGAGAGTGCCGGATCTTAACCACTAGACACCCAGGGCTGGGTAGGGCAGTGATTTTTTTAAAAAATCCTAATCTGGCTTCTCAGGGAACAGAAACCAAATATCCCTCAATCTGGGCCTTCCCCTGAAGCAGACACATAGTTCATGTTTTGCAGAAAAGCTTAAAGTTGAAGAATGGCCCCAATGACGTGGTTTTCAGCGTCACCACACAGTATCAAGGCACGTGCCGCTGCGAGGGCACCATCTACTTGTGGAACTGGGACGACAAAGTCGTCATTTCTGATATCGATGGAACAATCACGAGGTAGGTCCCACGGGTTCAGTGCTATGGGGGAGTTCTTGCCTTCCTCGTGGGACCCCTGGGCCTGGGCCAGCATTTCACTTCTCCTCTGTGGCATTGTGGAGCTCACGCAGTTCAGTTTCCCTTGCAGTCGGTGCTGCTCACAGAGTCCTCACGCCTCGATTCAACAGCTGCAGTTTGGGCTTGGTGGTGCTTTCCCTGGGGGCTGTCGGCTCCCTGATTTTGTTGCTCATGTGGCTGCCTCTGAAGAGCACCTTTCTGAATATCCAGAAAATAAGTGATGGGTCTCATTTGCATTTTTTATGATGCAGTAAATCGGAATGGAATTTTTTTCCTTCTGTGATGCCCTTTTAATTTTATTTTTCTCATTTTTATCTTTATTTAGATCAGATACTCTTGGCCACATTTTGCCCACCCTTGGGAAGGACTGGACCCACCAGGGCATTGCTAAGCTGTACCATAAAGTGAGCCAGTAAGTACAGAGCACCTATTCCCTGCCCCTCACACATGGCTGGTATACACACGACACTCTGCACCTGGAATCCTTGCTGCTGGCGGACTGACAAAGAGTGGGGCACCTCAGCCAGGGAGGGTCAGCGGGGGTGGCGGTGGAGGATCCTGAGCGCATGGTGAATCCCGCCAACTTCAGATTTGAATTCAATACTGAAGGACAAGAAAGGAAGAGATGGGTGAATTGAGAATTGATGGAGAAAGAAGAAGGTGGCAGCACTGGGGGAGGCTTGAGGTTCAGTTCATCCTGAGGAATGTCAGAGATAATGAGGTGAAGAATTGGTGGTCTGGTACATGCCAGGCGACTTATGTCAGGCTTACAAGGTGCAGATTCCAAGCAGGTTTTAGTTGCAGCGCAGGCCCCGAGAGCCAGCCAGCTGTGCATGTCTTGTTCACCTGGTCTGGGGAGTGCTTGGCTGAGTGGCGAGAACACAGGACAGTGGGTCGCAGGACACCTGCTGTGGGCCCCACACCTGGACGTCAGGGCGAGAGAATGGGTCTTAGAGTGTATCTCATGTCGGGCATGTGGGTCACTTCACTTACATCTTATAGTAATTCTGGAAAGTAGGTAATAACATTTCTGTTTTTAAATGAAATAAACCCAGAAAGTTGAGTGATTTGTCCGCATCTGCCCACAGCTGCTAACGGGCAGAACTCGCTAAAGCCCTGGTCTGCCCGGCTCTGGGTCTACTTCTTCTCTCCAGTCCATCTCCAGGCTGCAAAGACAGTTGGGGTTTCTCCCTCCCGCATACCGGCTTGTGCTTGGTCACACTTTCTCCGTCTTTGTGTGAACTAGAGTCTCTCACATAAGTGAAACCTCTCCCTCCAACACTTTCTGTGTTCCTGCCAGTTAGAGCTGGAAGGTGCCTTGGGCTGACTCAGGACAGCCCCATCTTTCCATGGGGGAGGATGGTGAGGAAGTTTCACAGTTGGTAAACGTCAGGTCAGAGGGCCCAGGCCTGTGATTCCCTACCTCCCGTGCTTACCTCTGGCCCACGTTGGTGGTGGTGGGGGTGGGGATGGGCACTCAGCTATTTCCAGTGCTCCGTAGGCCCAGATGAATGGAGTATACTTGCCTACTCCTCATTCATTCATTTATCCACCATTTACTGAGTGCCTGTTGTGCGTCTGGTCCTATCATGGTGCTTGGGATGATAATGAAGTGGACACAGTCTCTGGCCTGCTTTGCCTTATGCTTCTGGGAGGAAGACCTTATATCCTGATTAAAGCCCCTGATTTCTTAGATGCCCAGCTCGTTGGTTTGACCTTACTTTTCTAGATTTCATCTTTGAAAAATTGTAGAAGTGGTACATGCTTCTTTAAAGAAAAATAAGAGAAATAAGAAAAATTAGGGAAATGTGAAAATACAAAGGGTGTAGCTTCTCTCTCCGTGCTCTGCCGCCAGACTGGTCCTCTCCCTGCAAGTGAAACTGTTGTGAGCAGTTTGGGTCTGTCTTGCTGTACTTACAATTCATTTACACACTCCCCGCCCCTGACACACATACACGTGCTCACATTGTTTCATAATATATCCTTTTGTCTCATTACATGTAAGGATGGCCTCACTCTTTTTGACTGCTGCACGGATTCAATGATGTGGGTAGACGTCCTTTAACTAGTCCTCCACTGATGCACGTGAGACGTAGTTTCCAGTTTTCCACTCTTTCCAACAGTGATGCAGTAAGCGTCTACATCGAGTGTTTATTATATATAATGAGCATATAAATAAGTAAAGAAGGCACGCACACATAGGGAAGGACTGCTGTAAGGTCAGTTCCCAGAAGCAGAATTGCTGGGTCAAAGAAGGAGCACATTTAAAGATTTGATCAATATTCCTGAATTGCCCTTTAGAAGGTTGTTGCAGTCCGTGCTCTCGTAGATGGTGTGTGTGCAGACCCCTTTCCCCACAGCCTCACTGCGGGCTGACCTTTCATTAGAAGGATTAATCCACCGATGAGCTGCCTTGACTTGCATGACACTGAAAATTGCATCTATTTTTAGTTGAAAGAGACCCTCATGAGTCAGCATACTGAGTAGTTCACAGCCTGATTTGTTTTGGTTTTTGGAACGTAAATCTATTCCTGTCCTTACTGTAACATTAAAAAAAAAAAGGCACAGTTACATTTTTTTTTTTTTTGGTCTTGATTTATGTCTCTCTTGGATTTTCCCAGAAAAGATACCTTCTTGAAAAGTAAAGTTGTGTAGCTTCCCAAAGAACACCTGACTGTTCTTTTCTTCGATTGGTTTAGGCTGAGTTGAGTCTGTTGGTGAGGATCTGCGAGTAGAGTACAGAATACTTCTTGTATTTTCATTTTGGTTGAGAGGAAGGGGCTTGACGTATGTTTCTTCTTTGAGGTTGATATGTGTCCTCAGTGACACCCAGACTATTAGGCCGGTGTGATTTGCAGTGATGGTCAGGGCTTCCAGAGCAGTGGGCCAAAAACAGCTCAGCCGTGGCCTTTGGGGGCTCTGTACTGAGCCCCTCTAACGTGAAGAGCAAGCTCCTGGGTGTGGCTTTGGAAACCTACCAATTTTGGGTCCCAGCCTTCTTCTTGGTCTTTATTTTCTGTTGCTTCTCCCCAGAACTTCTCGCTCTAATCCAGGCTGACTGTGTTGCTCACTCCTGCTTCATTTTCCTGTCTTCCCGCCTCTGCTCATAGGATGGCCTCCGCAATGCAGGCCTTTGCCTCAACGTTTTTTTCAGCCTGTAATGCCTGGCTCGTGAGCCACAATCCTCACGAAGCCTTTCCAGGCCAGAATGAGTGACCCCAGGCGGCTCTCATCTCCTCCTCCTCCCCGGGGCTTACCGAGCGCTTCATTGACACCCAAGAGCTTGGCCTGGCTGGCGGCCTCAGTCCCATCACAGAGTCCTAGCCCGGACTGGACATGGCGTGCGGTGTCCGTAGCTGACTGTTGGTAGGATGCACGCCCGTTTTGGCAGTGTCTCACACGCCATCTCTCCAAGGGCTTAGGCGGCTGCAGCTGGGGGAAGCGTGGGCACTGAGAACCGGTCTGGGTCGTGACTCACTCTCCAGTGGGTCCAGGTCGTTCTTGGATTTCTTACTTGTGATTACTGAGAGACATGTTAGAGAACTGTTTAGCATGCTAGAGTCCTAGGAAGAAGGTGCCCTTTAATTTAGGGTTTTTGGACTGATCTCTCTTTTCTCATACTGGTCTCCTTGAAGCTGGGTCCCACTTAGATTGTATGCACTGTAGTATTTTGTCTAATGAAAAACCAGTCTTGCAGATAGCCCCTTGCCTGGAAACAACAGAAAATGAGGGCAATTTTATTTATTTTTTTGCTGAATGTAATTACCTGTTTGCATACGGTCACCCCGTGAGAAATGATCTGTCAGGCTGATAGTTATCTTGTTCATAGAGAGGGTATAAAGCTTGCTGGGTTATTGATTTAAAAAAGCTTACTTGGTTATTGATTAAAAAGAGCTATAGCAAATACAAATGGAAGATGTACGAAACTCCGTCATATTCAAATATATTCAATAAGTCAAAGGAAAGTAAAGAAGGACTGTTTCCTAAAATATCTAGATCATTGAGCCAGTGGGTCTTTTGGGGGCTAAATGTGGACAGTAATTGCTCTGATTTTCTGCCTTACTTGATATAAATTTTTATGTTCATTTATATTCCTGAAATCAATGTCTCCGTGACAGCGAGAATGAATGCTGACTGCATTTCCGTAGATAGATCAGTTCATCGCTGGCCCCAGGAATGTATCATCAGAAGCTGGGATATTGCAGATGGGAAATAACCGTTAGTGGACTCGTTCGGGTCTGTTGTCTTCTCCTGCCCCCAGCTGTTACTTATTTCTTTGACCTCAGGTCATCTTGGGTTGTTGCTGCCATCACTATCTGCTGGTAAGGGAGAGGATAGTGCGGTGGGCAGAAGGGGGTCAGGGGACCTGGATTCTAGGGGCGACAGCCATCATCTAGCCACAGATCCGATGTCGTTCCCCACTCTGAACTTTGGTGTCCTCATCTTGAAAATGAGGACATGAGACTAGATGACGCCTCAGGTCTCTGCTAGCCTAGGCGTGCTCTGCTGGACTGTGTGGGTGAAGTCACAAGTGTGTGTGTGAACAGCCGAGTGGGCTTCTCCAAGCCATGCCTTGGTGAGAATCCTGGAGATTTCGCCGACTCGGATTGCAAACCCACTGTGCACCAGGGCTGTTTGAGGTGCTGCACAGGGTGCTGAGGACCTCTGCTCTCAGGGATCCTGTGATCATGGACAGCTCTGTCCGTAATGAGGCAGGGATGGGGGCGTGTAATGAGAGATGCAGATTTCATAGACATAAGTGAAGGAGAAATTTATTCTGATTGGAGGGGGCAGGAATCAGAGAAGGTTTCATTGAGAAGGTGGCTCTTGAGCTGAGCCTTATTGGATGAGCGGGTTTCAACAGAGAGGAAAGTTCATCTGGGTGGAAGTAGGAGTGAGAGGAGGGGCTGAGAGATGAGCGAGTGCGCGGTGGGCTCACTGAAGGGAGGCTCCGGTGCACAGGGCCGGGTGGGGTGAATGAAACGGAAAGCTGGCTGCACCGGATCACAGAGGGCCTTGGAGGCTGGGCTGGGAACAAGCCTGACTTTGGCACAGAGCTTTCCTTTCTCAAGGGAGCAGGCGAATAGCCTCCCTTTAGGACTGTAGATGGGGCTGCAGAGGAACCTTCTCTCTATAGCAGTGGCTTTCAACTGAGGGCGATTTTGCCCCCCCGGGACATGTGGCAATGTCTGGAGGCCTTTTTGATTGTCATGAGTTAGCGTGCCGGGGACCCTTCTAAATATCCTACAATGCAGAATTGTAGGGACCCCCTCTGCCCCCCAACAATGACTTGTCCAGTCGTCCAAGGTGTCGGTAGTTGAGAAACTCCGATCTGGAAGTTTATCTTGGAAAATACTCCCAAAGGTCATCTTTCTGAGGTATTTTAGTATCTCTCTGGGCCAGGCATTTTAAGAGGGATGTAGGGATTGGGGCAGAAGGAGAAGACTGTTGGTACCCAGCCTGGACGCGGGGTGCTCTTCCTTTTTGGCTCTGGGGTTTCCCCAGAGCCCTGTTCCAGTTGCTCAGATGTTGAGGGATAGGTGTGATCCAGTGTGTGGACTGCACCTCTTGTTCACTGGTATTTCCTCAGGCAGGGTTCGCCCTCCCACCCCTGGGGTCCACCTTTGTTCTGTCACATGTCCTGTGTCTGTCATTGTCAGTTTCCCCGCAGCACTCCCTGTTCCTGCGCACACACTGTGCTGGCCCCATGTGCACGCCCAGCCCAGCATGGGGCCTGGTGCAGGAGCCGGTGGGTGTGCATTGCTGGAAGGAGTGTGTCCTGCTGCTGGCTGCCCTTCTGAGCAAGGGGAGGGGTCTTACCCATGAGGGGCACCATTGAGAGCAAGCTTTGGTGACGTGGTGCCACCTGAGTGATTGATGGGAGCCCTTGGTATTTCATACAGCATTCGTGGGGGTGAAGTCTCTGGAAGGGTGATCCCCGCTGCCGGCAATAAGCGTTTCTCTCATCAGGACATCCTCGGGCTGAATTTCCAGCCAAGTTTAGTAACAGCCTTTGAAGCAGAACACTCGGTGGTGAGAACAACTCGGTGGCATGACCAAACCATGAAATGGATTTGAAAATCAAGTTTTGAATAAAATTAGCATCTAAGACCCTGCAGGTGGCGACTTTTAGGACTTTGATGGTGAAGAGCTATATACAGAAATAGTGATTTTTTTTAAAAGAAAGGATTGCATTAATTAGACAGCTAAGATACAAACATGTTTAAAAGGTTGCTTGATTTTCAGATGCATCCCTGTATTCCAAATAGGCTGATATTTCTAGACTCTGTCTTAAAACTTTCCTGTCTCTTGGTTTTAGAGAACATATTAAGCAAGTCTAGAGACAAGTCCTCTGGCCAGCATAAAATATTCATGTTGGAACAGTGAGTCGGATAGGAAGCGGGTAGTTTGTATTCGCTCATTCAGCAAATATTTGCTAAGTGTCTCCTACTTGCCAAGCGCTGTTTTTGGCACTGGGGTTACAGCAAGGAAGGAGACAACGTCCTCACCCTCAGGGAGTATACGGATTAATGAGAGATACAGTCAAACAAGGGGCCACAATATGATATTAGTCATAAGTGCTGTGAGGAAAAGCAAACAGAGCAACGGTTCAGTGCCTGGGCGTGGGGAAGGGAGGGGGTGTTTGTCAATAGAAGGAAAGGGAAAGGGCCCTCTGAGGAGGTGATGTCTGAGCAGAGACCTAGATGAGATGAGGGAGCGAGCGAGCACGAGGGGAAGCAGTGGGGAACGGTGTTCAGGCAGCAGGAACAGCACGAGCAGGTGCCCAGCACAGGAATGCATGTGGCAAGTGGGAGGAACGATAAGACACCTGTGCAGTGAGCCAGGCGCGAGGGAGCAGGTGGGCTGGAGAGAGGCAGGGGCAAGGTCTTACTGGCCTTCAGCTCGTGGCAGAAAATTTGGATTCTATCTGATGGAAATGGCAAGCCTTTGGAGGGTTTTGAGCATGAGCTGACTAAATTTTAAGTTTTCTTTTTGTGTGGAGACTTGATGGGGGCAGGAATAGAGGTGAGAATCCCTGCCTTGGAAGTTTGGGGTACATGTTAGGGGTGGAGCTCAGAGGACCTACTAATGGGCGGGGGTGGTTGTGAGGAAAAGTAGAAACCCAGGATGGCCCCTGAGATTTTGGCTTCACCCCTGGTTGATGGGGGTGCTGCTTGCTGAGGTGAGAAGGCTCAGGAGGAGCATCTGTATGTGTTTGGTTACGGATGTATCGTGCGTGAGATGCTGCTGTGTATCCAATGGGTAATGTGGGGCCTGGAGCGTCAGAGAGGGGTCCAGGCTGGAAATATAAATTTGGGAGACATCAGTGTATAGATGGTGTTTAAAAATTTTTAAGTATGTTTTATTTAATCCAATATATTAAAAATATTGCCATTTAAACATATAATCAATATAAAAATTATTAATGGGATGTATGTTATATTCTGTTTTTATGATAAGCCTTTGAAACTTAGCATATATTTTATATTTACAGCATGTCTCATTTCGGACAGTAAGTTTTCAATAGTTGAAAAAAGGGAAATGTAGTCATACTGAAACGATAAAGTTACGTTCAGTAGAAGAATGTTCCTATGAGCTGTTTTTCACTCCTGGCACTTCTGGCACCAAATATATGGGGTTTTCACACCAAGTAATTCCCAAATCTACAGACACCAACTGGGTGTCCAACAGTTTATTTAATTCTGACACTATCGGAAGTTAGGGTAGACCCCAGGTTAAGGATCGTTCCCACCAGGCTGCCCCTACTTCAGTCGCCAGTTGTGAGTAGTAGGTCCCCAGCTTACCCACACCTCTGCCCAACTTGGCTACAAATTGGGGGTTCCCACAACCCCTTCCTCAGGGTTGATAATTTGCTACATTGGCTCACAGAACTTAGGAAAACACATTTGCTGGTTTATTATAAAGGATACAGTGAACAGCTGGGTGAAGAGGTATATAGGGCAAGGTACTGCCCCCATGGAGTTGGGGTACGCCACCCTCCCAGCACATGGATGAATTCACCAACCCGGAAGCTCTCCGAACCGCATTGTCTAGGTTGTTTATGCTGGTTCCATTACTTAGACATGACTGATTAAATCATTGGCCATTGGTGATTGAACTCAATCTCCAGCCACTCTTCCTTCCTGAGAATTTGGGGGGTGGGGCTGAAAGTTCCAATCCTCTAATTGCACGGTTGGTTCTTCTGGCAACCAGCCTCCATACTCCAAGAGTCACCTCATTAGCATAAACTCAGGTATGGATGAAAAGGGCCTATTCCTCATAACAAAAGATGCTCCTCTTATCCTTGTCACTCAGGAAATTCCCAGGGTTTAGAAGCTCTGTGCCAGGAACTAGGGGTAAAGACCAAACGTGTATTTACTATATCGCAATATCACAAATATGTTACATTGCTTCAGTTTAGATGTGGCATTTAAAGCCATGGAAATGGGTGAGATCCCCTAGGGAGTGAAGGTGTTGAGAAGAAATGAGGCCCTAGGATTCCAGAACACTTGTACATTTAGAGGCCGGGTGGAGATGGAGCCAAGGTGACTTGTCTGGAAAGAAATGGCTGATGAGGGGGAGCGAAGGAGGAGATTGTGGGGTCCTGGAAGCTGAGGGAAGAAGGTGTTCTAGAGCAAGGAATGGTTACCTGTGTCAAGTGCTCCTGGGAAGTCTGTTCAGATGAGAATTGAGAAGTGATGCCTTGATTTGGCAAGGTGGCATCATAGGTGACCTTGACAAGGGCAGTGAAGCGGGGAACCAGGGTGCTTGGAGTGGGTGATGAGAGAAAGCGGGGTGGAATGGAGTCAGTGCAGATACACAGCTCTGTGAGAGGATTTTCCCACAAAGGGGAACAGAGAAATGGGATTTGACCTGGAGAGGGAAAACCTGAGAAGGGTTTTTTTGTGGTTGTTGTTGGCTTGGTTTGTTTTTAGGGTGAGATGAGAGAGGTTAGAGTGTATTTATGTGCTGACGGGAATTACCCCGTGGAGGGGGAGGATTTGATGGTGCGTGTGTGAGGGGGGATGAGCTCACTGCTGGTGTGTGGTCTGTGAATTGGCAGGTGGCGGTGGGGCCCTGTGCCCAAGTGGCTGGGAGGCCCTTAGCCAGGAGCAGGGACCGAGAGTCTGAACGATACAGGTGTAGGCAGGTTGGCCGGTTTGATGCATCGAGGCTCAGTTTCCCTAGTGGGAAAGTGGGAGGAAAAGACCTACCAAACAATGTTCCCATGAGAATTAAACCGAGTGAAATATGTGACCGTGCTGAGTAATGACCGCCAAATGCATTCAGGCCCATTTCTCAGTTGACAAGAAGATATTTATAGAACGTGGCCTTTTGCTTGGGAGGGAACTTGCAGCAATGCCATTCTTCATGAAACAGATAGAGATGAGGGTTTGCACATGCAAAACAGTTCCACTGTGTGATGCCATCAAATGTGAATGTTTTGTCTCTTTTTCAGAAATGGATATAAGTTTCTCTACTGCTCTGCGCGTGCCATCGGGATGGCGGACATGACGAGGGGCTATTTGCACTGGGTCAACGAGAGGGGCACCGTGCTGCCTCAGGGGCCACTGCTGCTGAGCCCGAGCAGTCTCTTTTCCGCCTTGCACAGGTAACGCCACTGCGCTTGTCCACCTCCTGCCCCAGGCCTGCGGCCACTTCAGGCCCTCTCTCTTCCTCACTGCAAATTTTGCAAGAATAGCCTCTTAACTGGTCTTCCCAACCAATAACCTGCTCCATACTGTGCACCAGAAAAATCATCCTAAAATGAGTGTCTCACGCTGTCACCCCGTCAACACCCTTCTTTGGCTCATCATGGCTCTTGGGATAAAGTCCAGATTCATCAGCTCAGCATCACTTGACTTTTCATGACCCACTCTTGCTCTCCTCTCCAGTCTCATTTCTCTCCAGTTTCTAGATCTCAGATGTGTTGAACTGTCTCCATTTTCCAGAGTGATGTTCTCTGCTTTGAGCCTTCGCACATGCTGCCCCTCCTCCTCCCCTTCTCCCTGTGTTGCTGGTCTGAGTCTTAATGACTCTGAGAATCAACTTGCATTTCGTCTAATCAGGGACCTACGCTGGGTCCCCAGTTACCTCTAGGGTGAGTTGAGTGACCAGTGACTATTTGCAAATTCAGATCACCAAAGAGATAGGCTGTGCCAAGGAGCAGTCTGTACTGCTCACCATAGCAATTCTCAGCAATCCTCACCACTTACTCGCTGGTGTCCTTACTGCCAAACAAGGCGTTGGGCAGCGTGGGGCTGACGAGGTGTTTTCTTACTTACCCCGTATACATGCATGCAGACATCCTCTTTCCGCTTCCCACACTCACACATTCACAATGTGTGTGTGTGACTGTGTCTGTGTGTGAGAGAGATTGAAGCAGGAAGTTGAATTTGAGTGGTTTTCCCCAGGGTGTTGAAGTTGGAGACTTATAATCATACAGTCACTCACATGCATCTCTATGAGTTCTAAGATGTAGAAAGCAAGACCCTTTTAGTGTTAAGGAGGGCTCTGGAGTCCACAGATGTCAGTGCAGGTCCAGGACCAGCCCTTGAGTCTTTTGACGCTCAGTTTGTGTTCCTCCATCGTCATCGTCATCGTCATCATCGTCTTCATAATCATCTTAATTACATTTTGAGTAGGTACAGAAGACTATTTCTAAAATACATGCAAGGTAAAATGATAGTCACACAGTGAAGACCAGTGTACCCACCACCCAGTTAAAGCAAAAGGACATACGTTCCATCTGAAGTCCCGCTTGCTCTCATCCCTCCCCCTCAGTAGTAATAGTACCCATTATCCCTGAATTTTGTGTTAATCATTCCCTGCTCTTCTAAATAGTTTTATCACATATATTTGCAATCCTAACCAATATGTTTAATTGTGTACATTTGTGAACTTTAAGTGAATCAATCACATGTTCTTCTGCGTGTTCTTGCTTTTTTCATTCAACATTATCTTCCCAAGATTGTTGAGTATAGCTGTGTATCATTCATTTTTACTCCTGTATCATATCCTATTGTATGACTCTACCATGGTTTGTTTATCCACTTTACTGTTGATGGGTACTTGAGTCATTTCCAGTTTTTTGCTACTGGAAGCAGTGCTTCTGTGTGTCCTCTGGGGGCACATGTGCCATAGTTGCTCCAAGGTTGCTCTTAAGAGTGGAATTGCTGGGCCATAGAGTATGCACATATTCAGCTTTATTAGGTCATTCCAAACTGTTTTCCAAAGTAATTGAGCCAATTTATGTACCAACAGCAGTGTGTAAGTGTACCATTCGCTCTGCTTTCTTGCCAGCACATTGTCAGCCGTTTATACTTTTGCTAGTCTTGTGGGTGTGAAATGTCTCTTTTCATATGTTTATTGGCCATTTGGACTTCATCTTCTGTGAATTGCCTGTGAATTCTGTGAATTCAAGTCTTTCCCCCATTTTCTTTTTGATTTGTAAGAGTGTGTTGTAGATTCTATGTATGTCAGCTTTGTTATGAGTGCTGCAAATACCTTTTCCTAGTTTATGGTTTTTGATGAACATAAATTCTTCATTTCATGGAGTTGAACATATCACTTTCTCTGTAGTTTCTGCTGTCTGTGTGTTAAGAAGCCTCCCTTGACCTGTGAGCATGAAGACAGTGTCCTATATTTTATCTAAAGGTGCTGCCTGTTACATTTAGGTCTGTAATCCACCAGAAATTGATTTTTGTATATAAATGAAGTAGGGACCCATTTTCATTTTTTTTTTTTCCCCTAGGTTCAGTTGTCCCAGCACCATTTACTGAAAAGACTGCCCTTTCCCTGCTTTGAATTGTCATCGTGGCCATAAATGGGTGGTTCTGGCCTTTACCCTTCTGTGCCGCTAGTAGAATCAAGTTTCATAAAAACATACAGACAAAAACCTGTTGAGAGTTTGATTGAAATTACAATGGATCTATAGATCAATTTAGGTAGAATTAATATCTCCTTATAATATCAAATCTTTCAGTTCAATTATATGGTATATTTCTTCATTTATTTGGGTCTTCCCTAATATATTTCAATAAGGTTCATAAATTATTTAGAATTTTTGCACTGATGTTCACAGATGAGATCGGCCCTCACTTTGTTCATAGTTTTCTTCTTCAGGTTTTGTTTTTGAGGTTATATGCCTCATAAAATGAGTTAGATGTTCTCTCTCTTTCTATGCTCTGGAATTCTTTGTTCCGTGGATGACTGATGGAGCTCTTGGGTGAAATCACTCGTCCTTAGCATTTTCTTTGTGGGAAGACTTGCAAGTATGGATTCACTTTCTGTCTAGTGCTCTCCTCGGGCAGCTTAACTGACCTGCACATATTGAACTTTTGAAGCTGTGAAAGTGTTCTTAGTGTCACGGCATCTTTGACAGTTAAAAATAGTTTGACGCTAATGAAGCTTATCCTCTCATGTTCATCCATTACTTATTTATTTGTTTTAACAGAGAAGTGATTGAAAAGAAACCAGAAAAGTTTAAAGTCCAGTGTTTGACAGACATCAAAAACCTGTTTTTTCCAAATACAGAACCCTTTTATGCTGCTTTTGGAAACCGACCGGCTGTAAGTAGTAGATGGGATATATAAGAGTTATTGAAATTACTGTCTTTTCTGACAGCAGTCATCTGAAAGGCTGGCCTAGACCGTATGTGAAGCCAGATTCTCATCTTATAAGAAATAGCTGATAAAGAGCCACTTGCCTACATCTAAAGGCAAGGAGATTGTAAATTATTTCATGGCCTCTAGTTTTCTTTGAAGATTGGCTAGTGGGTTTCATTTTGAAGCTTGAAATGTGGGACTAGTCACTTCAAATTCCAAATTACTTGCTAAATTAGTAAAACAAGAACATTGAATAGCATTCAACCGTTTCTACCAGAAGGGAAACCACAAAGTTTGGCATGATGGTGATCCAGTGAGATCCTTCAGCATCTCAACTTTTCAGAATATTTGTTTCATATTGTAAAAGAAATGCTTTGAGACTGTGTGTGTACTACCCAAAGTTGCTGGAAAGTTCAGCATTCTGGAAAATATAGTTGGGTACTAACTTCCCAGTAAGAAAATTCCCCTACTTTTGAAACTCATGCCCCAGAAAGTGGGTCAGAGAATAACGGTAAGGAATGTTGGAATTGCAGGGGATGTGATGGGTTGTTGACTCTCTAACTCAGCTCCTGAATAGATGAGGGAACTGAGGCCCAGAGGAGAAAACTGAGTTAATAGTTTCACCTCCAGAAATATTCTTTCTCTACACTAATTGGAAGTATAGTTCTGGGTAATGAAAATATCATGCATTTGTGTTTACAATGAACTCTTTTCTAATTAACACTTTACCAAATACAGGATGTGTATTCATACAAGCAAGTAGGAGTGTCTCTGAACAGAATATTTACTGTCAATCCCAAAGGAGAACTCGTACAGGAGCACGCAAAGACCAACATCTCCTCGTGAGTATTGTGCACACTTTGTGTGATTACTGTTTTGTTACGTTGTTGTCGCCATCTTAATCTTAGAATGGTGTTTCATAGTTTACAGTATACCTTTTTATCTTTTGTTGCCTATATTTTAATCTTTAATTCTTACAAGGAAACATATATTTTAACTCCTTGTATTTTGTCCAAAACTTCATTTTTGGACAATCTTGATTAAATCAGATCCCCTCTGGGCTGAAAATTTAAACTAGTGGTTATATTTTGCTACAGAGTGGAATTGAATGAACTTGAAAACTAGTGGTTTAGATTTGCCAACTTGGGCTTGAAAGCCTAGAATGTGGATTAGAAATGTAACCAAATTGGAGTATCACGTGAGGCTGTATTTAAAGATGAGGGACTCTGTGTCTCTTCACGTGCTGCCCTGTAATGATATTCTCACCAGAAGCCTTGCTGTGTAATTATAAGAATTCCTCTCATATTTTTGAATATGAATTTTGAATATTTTGAAGCCCAGTTTCCCTGAGACAGGGGCTGAACTGGGTTACTGTTTGTCATGAGGCATCCTGGTGGGCTGTAGACTCTCTTGACTTTGATGTGTCTCACTTTGGCTTCCTAACTTCTTAGAACGCAGAGTGTTTCCTCATCTCGTGTGTTGGGAGCATTGCCCATCAGGTGACATCAGCCCGGGCAGACAGGTGTCATCGGCGTTGTCTGTCTCAGAGGCTGCACCTCTTCTGGCCTGGTCTGTGCAGACCTAGAAAGTAGCCTGTGGCCTGAGTGCTGGAGCCCTCCTCATGTGGAGGAGTTGGGTGGGGGGAGTGTGGGTCTTGTGGCTTTCTAGGGGTTGGTCTTTGCCAGGCGCCTCCTGTAGTTTCAGGTAAATTCGAGATCAAGGTTGCCCCTAGAGCAGATTCTCGCTTTCACTATGCTCCTTATACCAGTTGGAGTCTAATCCAGCTTAACTAGGGCAGTTCCAGAACAGCAGCGGGGACTGATTCCTTTCTTAACCTTTTCCTTGCTGTTCCCCTCCTCCCCAGTGCTACGTGGCCACCCTGATATCAGCGTTCCCTCTTCTCCCTAATTCCCCAGCATAGCACGTTCCATGTGAGAGGTCTTCCTCGTTCTGGAGGAGATCTGGTGGATTTCCATTTAGGGTCAAAAGAACTCTTAACTGATGGGACGCTGCCCAGAAGTGGCAAAGGTTTCTGCCCAGCAGCAGCCGAGTGGCAGGTCTTGTCCTAAGGGGCGTGGAAAGAGGGATTTCTGCATCTATGAGGGTTTGCCAGGAGGCTTCTGAGGCAGTATCCCATTCACTGAGACTCAGGTTAAAATGCGTGCTGTGCCCGTGCCTTGGCCTAGAGTGGATCTCTGCGTGGAGGGGACATTACACCTAGGCTGGAGGTGTGGTTGTTCCTGTGAGAGAGTGACTCTCCTTCCCCAGGAAAGCGCATACTTTTCTCTGGCACTGAACTTGGTACAACCTTCTCAGAGCCAGGTCGGTGCCTGCCCCTTGGAACCTGGGCCACTGTCTCTGAGAAGTCATCTGAAATGTCTTCAGAGGATCAGGGCCGTGTGGGTGGGGAATTTCAGTGTGTTCTTTCTTTGCATTTGTGACCATCAGTTTGAGCTCTGCCTGCTCTGAGGGGGCCCTGTGCTTGGAGGGTTGGTCCCAGAGAAGCTCACAGATGGGGCTCGGTCCCCCACTCGGAGCACATGCGGGTGGTTTGGATCTGTGCCCACCACGCCCTGGCGATGAGCGATGAACTGCCCCCTGCAGGGAGGGGCCTCCTCCACGGCCACAAAACTCAAGCAAATAGGTCTTAAAGCCAGGAGGTATTTTAAAAATTTGTTTTAATCCCCAGGAAAGACATAATGTTTGTTTATTAAGAGAGATTTTTCCTCTTTTGTGTAAGCATGATGTTTCTCATAAGCCCTTTGGAGTTCCTTTATTAAATACACACACTCATCCTTGTTTAGTAAGTTGTCTTATGCCTCAGAACGTGCTAATTCCTAGAGTTTGGATTTCGAAAGCCCCTTTGGTTCTTAGCAAATTGGAACTGGAGAGGGACCCAGTGACTGTCAGGGTGCCTCTGGGGATGTGTGGAGCAGCCTGGACCTGTCAGAATTTCCGGCTGGAGGCGACTGGAGGTCTGAAAATTCACATTCAGTACAGCAACTTTCTTTTTGTAGTGTAGGCCCCAGAAACTACGATGTAACATCTTCTTGGGAATACACAGAAAACAGAATGAGAGGATATTGTAGGGAGCACTGAGAAACATGGAGTCTAGTCCAACTTCACGCTCTATAAAGATGAAGGGCCTGAGCCCAGAGTGGGCAAGACACTTGCCTGAGGTTCCACAGCAGTAGAGTGGGAGTAGATCCCGGGTCTCTTGACCCTCATGCCAACTAGGGCTTTTCTTCCTGAGGCTCATAATTAGCCAGGGCTAATTATTTCCTAATGTTAATAATTTCTTGTTGACTAAATTTATTGAGCATTCAATACACATTATTTTATTATTGCATACATTATTTGATTCTCACATGAACACTGTGGCACAGTTTTCGTTTTCTTCACTTTACAGTTGAGGAAATTGTGGCTTAGAGAGATGAAGCCGTTTGCTCAAGATCACACAGCTAGTAAATGACAGAGTCGAAGGTCAAATCCGTGTGTCCGTAACCCCAGGGCCTGGGGGCTTTTCATTGCACAGTGAAGCGGTCCCTGTTTGGTGCTCCAAAGATGAGCTTTGTCTAATTCTTTCCCCCGATGCCCATCCATGAGCTCTGCGGGGGGCGGCTGTCTGTCCGTCCACTATGCCGACTCCTTCTCGTCCTGCTTTGCTTCTGCTCTGCCCTCCCTCGTCGGTCCTTGGTGTGAAGTCAGGTCACAGTCACCTTGTGCATGGCACTCTCTGACTCCTCCTCGGCGTACTCTTTGATTTCTTAGTAATCAGTGAGGAATTATTCTAGAGCAGCCTCCATTGTGTTAGGTGGTCTGCTCCTCGGGGTTGTAGGTTTCTCCTAACTTCCCAGCACGGCCCGGGGGCGTGGCAGGTGTTCCGCTTGGCTGGGTGTCCCGCAGAGGCAGTGACGTTGTCCGTTTCCCTTCCAGGTACGTGAGACTCTGTGAAGTGGTCGACCACGTTTTCCCGTTGCTGAAAAGAAGCCACTCTTCGGACTTCCCCTGCTCAGATACCTTCAGTAATTTCACCTTTTGGAGAGAGCCACTGCCACCTTTTGAAAACCAGGACGTTCATTCTGCCTCAACGTAAAATGTCCCAGGCAGCCTCCTGACATCATGCGACGACTGGGCACCCCCATTAAAGGGTAGATTTTGGGAGCCGTGGAGAGGAGCTCGGGAGCCTGACGTGCAGTCCTTTGCTTAAGAGCAGGGAGAGTGGAGAAGCATTTCTCTCTCCCCCGCTGCCCTGAGGGTTGACATTTCTGAGTGAAATTGTAGGCGAGGCATCGGGTGCGTTCTTAGTGAGGAAGGCATTCCTTGTTTGTGGCTTAAAGCCAATCGCAGTGCTGCCCTTCCCAGCAGGCTCTAGCAGTTCGTTATCAGTTAATGTGCAATACTGTCTATGAAACCTACGAAGAGGTGGCTGCCAGGGGGTCCTGGCCGGTGACAGTATCAATCGAGGAACGCCAGATGTGCACGACTTTCAGTAGAGTAGGGGGCATGTGTCCATTATGGCGGTTTGTGTCACCTCTTCCGCACCTGGCAGGAGGGCTGTGCAGGGTCTCATGACCTGAATCTGGGTTCTCTGAAGGGGCTCCAGACCTCACTGTTCTGGGCCTTGGCCTGTGGATGTTCCTTTACAGTGTTTGCTGACCGGTCTAGTTTTTAGGTGATAAGTTCTTCTTTAATTCCTTTGGTTACAGATAATCTATGTAGCTGGCATATTTTCCCCCATTTCTGTGGCTCCAGGCTGGAATATTTATGCCTTAAAGCATCTGTGGCAGACATTTTATTTAGAATGTGCTTTGTCTAGCTCTCGGTAACTTTGCAATGCCTTAAGTTCAGATGATAGTAAATATTACTAAGGCAGTATTTCCAGTCGGTTCAGCACTCTGCCAGCAGCCTTGTATCCAGCAGGGTGGTGCTGACAATGTGGGCTTGAACAGAGCTGATGCCAGATGATAATGATGTCGATTTCTATTGGGAGCTCTCAAAAGAAACTGGTTGGTTTTAAGAAAACAGTTCCAAGAAGTTGAATTATATTCTTTGTAGATATTACTATTTATTGCTTTACTCTGATTGGATTACTGTTATAAGCATTTTAGCCATATTCTTTCTATTATAACTGTCATTAATCCATTAAAAAGATATGCATGTTAGACTATCCAAAGAGCCTTATTCTCTATATCCCACAACACTGACCTTCTTTTGGGATTTACGAGTAATGCTTTTTATTTTCCTTAGCTTTTTCCACTCAAATTAAAGGCAAGTGGATAGGTAATAATTTAAGTGACGTTCTTTAAGCCAGTAGATGATTCTTTTACTTGTTTATTAAATTGGCTTGTGGAGAGAACAATTTGAAAAGAAAGAATTATTTTGGTAAAAGATTTTGCTTTACTTTTTGAAGTATTATTTTTTTAAAGAGTGTTTTACTCCAATGGTTGAAATACTTTGCTATTTAAATCACATTGTTAGAATCATAGGAGGCAAAATATGGAACAGTTGAATGAAATTTTACTCTTTCTGTGAAAGAAAACCCAATGGTGTTGCCTTCATTGTAGTCGGTGGGCTCCGTTAGCAGCGGGATCCTTTACTGAACGGTTCCCGTGGCCGTGCAGAGAGAGGCAGGTGTACGTGTGGAGTTGATTGCAGATTTGCAGAGCAGAGAGAACATGCATGTGCAGATTCCCTTCCGGAGGCGTTAAAAATAGTTACGAACAGTCCTGCCTTAACTACTCTGGGTTTGTTCACTAGTGACCTCTGGAGGCCACATTAATTCTTTCTGTTACGAGGGTATTTTTGGGTGAATTTAGCCGTTGTGAACTCAACCTAAGCTCAGGGGCCTGCGTAGGCTAGCACAGTGTCTCCCTTGAGCTGGGAGGAGCGTGGCTGCGAGCGTGGGTAGCGTATCCCTCGTGCCATTTGCCCCTTCATCAGGACGACAGCTGTAGTCCACTCTCCACGTGGAGGTGTGAGAGCATGCAACTTTGGACTCCTAATTTTGATGTACCTTAAGCTTCTGCACTACTGCAGTCTGAAACAGAGCATGCCTTGCAGAAAGTTGCACTGTCGGATCTGTGTCAGGTTCAGAGTGTGACCCCTGGGGAGGCTGTAACATCACACCTGCCTTGTTGCTTTGGAAAATGTGATTTATGCATGGGTGGTGCTCACACGTATGGGAGTTGGTTTATCTGTGTTTACACAGCTATAATCCGCAAACCCCACAGTTGTGTGCTAGAATGCTGCATTTGGACCATACATTTCAAAGTTGTCCTATGGAAATGAGTCACTCTGTAGTGCCAAGTCATCAGATGTTCATCACAGGTGATGAAGAAAAATATATATACTTGGTATATAGAAAAATATATATACCTAGTACATTGGAGAAATGACTACACCTTCAGAGAGAATTCCCTTTTCAATTTTAGGTTTGGATCACCACTTTAAATACATTTTATTTACAACACTTGATCTGTATTTGTATATGCTGTTGCAATGGTAACAATCACTGTACTATTTCATTGTGTTGTGCTGGATCCAAAGCTAGAAAATATTGTAATAAATGAGACTGATGAAAGACTTCTCTGAAAATCAGGTGTGTGAATTTTAGTTTTTGGTAAGTTATTGTGTTGCTGATTTTCTGATATCAAGCATATTATTTTATTTAAAAAAAAAAACCTTAAGACTATGAACTGTTCAATCTTTGGAATAAAAGAGCCAGTCTTTTCTGATGTCTCTGGTACAATGCCGGCTCTGTGTGCACTTAGGGGGAAGGGGGCTGAAGATGGAGAGGAGAGGGCTGCACCCGGGGCTGCTCCCGCCCTGAAGGGAATGACTCCGGAGCAGGGAGGGTTCAGTTAAATGTTGTACGTCACGTGCCGCCAGGGCCTGGCCCATAATTGGTGTTTAACACAAGCGAGTTCTGTTCCGTTTCTTTTGTGTGATGGTCAGTCAGGTGCAGCCACAAGAGGAGACCCAGGAGAGGCTCAGGAAAACAAAGTTTATTATACTCACAGGTCCTCGAATTGGGAGGTATGCATGCCACATGGGCCACAAGGGAAAGCTCCAGGCTGGTCAGGAGGCAGAAGTGGCAGGAGAGCGGGGAGAGCCTAGGCCAGGGCCTTAGTTGGGTGTATGGGAAAGGCAAGGCGGGGCAGAGCGAACAGTTAGGACTGGCTAGTTTGAATAATTTCAGCGGACTCTAAGCAGTGGTCTATAGAGGTGGTCCCTGGTTGCCTGGCGCCTGGCCCTGGATGATTAGGGCAGAGGAGTATTGCCTCCTGGGGTGCGCAGGCAGATAGAGGAGGTCTGGCTCTGGATCGGTTAGTTTGCATATCACGGCGTGCTCTGCTGGGCCCTTTACTGTCTCTAAGAAGTGGCTAGCCAGCCTCTTCCCCAGCCAGAGAGATTTTTAAGATGTCAAAACACTATAATAAGACACAGAAAATACAAGTATGAACAATACAGTTTCCCTTACCTCACATCCGCTGTCCTCAGCTTTTGGACTGCACTTCTCTGTGGTGTACCCAATTCGTTTTTCATTTTGAACGAATCAATCAAAACCCTTGACTAGTTCACCCAGATAACTTGAAAACCACCATAATTCCTATTGATTTTGTGCATCGTCGACATGCCTGAGGCATCCTGTTGCATTACCTGCGTCAGCCTAAGTGTTTTTTGAATAAATTTTAGAATATTGGTCCCTAAATTCGTAAACGATGGCTGCACAAGGGTACCAGGCCGAACTCATGAGGCCCAGATTCAAACACTTCATCTCTGGGGGTCTGTGGAATTACTGCTCATGTGTCTTGAAAACAAAACAAATCCTGTCGTTTAGCTGAACATCACAGATTTATTCCAACTCTGATTTCAGATTGTAGGCTCTTTTGTCTGTGAAATAAAAATTAGTATAAACTGTAGTCCTGGGCCCGGGGAGCCCCACCTGCTCTTGCCCTTCGCCACTTGTCTCTCAGCGGTACCACTAGGCTATGCTGTTTCCATTCGGTAGTGCAGGCAGCTCTCACACGTGTGCAGGGGAAGCTAGTTCGGTAGCTTGAATTTCCCCAATGTCTCGGCTATAATCACCTGAATATTTAAATTACTTTCTATCTTGGTTTTCAGAATTGACACACCCCACCAGACTTGCCACCAGCCCTTTGATGGGAGACCGAGGAACATGGACAATGGGTCAGTGACCATTGGCTTTGGGGCTCAAAGCGCCCTTTCTTACGAAAGAATGCCTGTGGCCCTGGTGCAGTCCTAGGACGGGAGGAATGCCATGGAGGAAAGTTAAGCAGGCCTCATTTTAAGAAATTAAACAACAAACTCCTTCTGGAATCCGAATTTCCTCATTCTCGGAGGAGTGTTGTCCTAACCAGCTGTTCCAGGGGAGCTTTGTCACATCGCCCACCACTTACGCATCCGCCCCCCCTTGCACATCTGTACTCTGTATTCAGACATGGGGGGTAAGTGGGAGCAGCACTGGCCTGCCTCCATGGGCCTGGGGGTGTTGGGAGGGCATCCCGTCTCCGCTCTAAACGAAGAGAAGGCGGTTAAAATGCCACTAGGGTCTCCTTCCTGCCTGTGATCCCTTTCCCAACTCCTGCTACGATTGAAGGTGGGGGTTAAGTGACACTGCTGTTGCAGAAGGCTTGGTGCCTGAAGGAAACCAGAAAGTGACCAGACAGAAGCCAGCCCTGCAAGTCCACGGGCCCCAAACGGCCGCCTGGGGGCACAGTCAGTTTTGGTTTGGAGGCACAGCCTTTAAAAATGTTGTCCCAGCTTGACAAAGGCCCCTCCCAGCAGTGCTTGTCTTCGAGACCAGCCAGGCGTGTTGTGGGCTCGTGGGTGAGGGAGGAGTTCCTTACAGGACTGTTGGGTACCAAAGCGCCTGAGTTGGCATAGCCCAAGGTCGAATCTCACTACCTGGCTCAGCAGGGAGCAGTTTGTGGCTGTCATCCATTCAGGTCTCAGAATCATTTAGAGTTGTGGTTCTCAAAGTGTAGTCTCAAGGCCTCCAGCTCCAGCATCAGGGAGCTTGTTAGAAATACAGGTTCTTGGGCCCTACCCCAGGCCTGCTGAATGAGGCTATGGGCGTGGGGCCCACAACCTGTGTTAATAAGTCCTCCCTGGGGTTCCGATGCACACTCAAGTTCAGATGATGCCCCAGAGGCCCGGGG